GGGAAACTTCTTATAGGTAGCATTTTAGCTTCTGGGGTTAGGTTTCTTAAAACATTTTCATTGTTAAATTATACTTGGACTCAAAGTTTTATCTGTGTGAGTAACTCCAGCGTCTCTGTGTTTGCAGATCTATCTGGGGGAAGCAGCTCAGTACTGGGGAAGTTTTGACCTCTGAAAACAGGAGGGGTGTTATTCTTGGGGAACTACTAAGGGTTACTATGGTCTGAGTTGCCTAGGCCTGTATATTGGCCCGGTCACACGTAGTTAATACGTTTTTACACTGTTTATTTTATTTTCAAAAAATAATGTTAGTCTGAAAAATAACTGACTGTACACCCCGCAGCTTCAAGTGAGCCTAAATCCAAACTACACTTCCGGTTCCATGTTCTTATCGAACTGGATAGCATTTAATGAACTAAACTATAAGTAAAATAAAACGGACTCTAGGTGCAGCTGTGCCGCAGCGATAGAGCGGGTCTCTGATCGCAGCGTTAGCGGTTCAATCCCGGATCTGCCCGGTACACGCGTGGAAGTGTCCCTGGACAAAACACCGAGCTCCAAGATGCTCCCCACGGCTAGGTCAGCACCCTGCACTGTAGGCCATCGGTGTGTATGAATGGCTGAATCTGTAGTCAAAAACTGAAATTTAACAGATGTTTAACAAATCTTCAACAGATGTTAAGTGTGTGTGTGTGTTTTTATCTAAGAATAAACAATCTTTGCAAACCAAATATGGAGCGACCCGTAATGAGCTTAAGGAGTCTACTGAACATCGGTTTTATCTGTATACATCAGTTTTTTTTTTCTAAAACTCATCTCCCCAGCTTTCCTGAAGCAAATGTTTACAGTTAACACCGATAGTTATATCCTGAAGCCGTGGTTTGTTCAGCACCTGTCCTGCAGGTCAGTGCTTTACAGAAGACCAAACAATTTAAATATAAAAAGCAAAACTATGTATTTTCTGCACACGAGAAATAAAACCTATTATTTGACATTTAAACCATTGAAACGGACGAGAACTGTCAAATAGATGACATAAAACATCAATTAAAAACAAACGTTCTAATTTGTAGTTTTATTGTGAAGGGGGTGCCACCCCGATTCCGGTCCGGTCGGTTTGCGCTGTTTCTAACGTGACATCGTGTTTGTGCTCTTCCATAACGAACTTCACCGAACTCTCCGCGGTGTAATCTTCGGTGTGTTCGCGACACTTTCACGTTTAGTTTTAGACGGATTCTCCTCCGTGATTTTAGCGTTTTCCCGCCTCCAAACTCCAGTTTGTCCGGTGGAAATCCTGGTTGTGCGGCTGGAAAAGAGGCTTCAGTGCGGGACCCCGAGCCGGTTGAAGTGATTGACGGTTTAAAAGAGGCAGAGACTGAAATAATGAGAAGATGAAGCTGATTTTGTGGATTCTTCTGTCTTTCCTAAGGAGTCGTGAGGGGACGTGTAGGAACGGTGAGTGAATGTGGTCATTGCGCTAACATGGCTGCAGCTCCGTGTTGTTGTTTGGTCATTTATCAGTCAAATCTCTGCCACAATGTAACCACTGTTTATCTTGGTCGAGTCTTCAAGGTTGATCTTCATTGGAAAAAATTGTTAAATGTTTTGTAGGTTTGTTGCAAAATTACCAAACCATAAAACTCATGCTAACACCTTGAACTAACTTGAGCAGCTCACCGGTTTATTCGGCGAGGGGTTAGGATGGGGTCGGGTCGGGTCGGGTCGGGTCGGGTCGGCCGACACAGCAAGTTTAGTTTAAGTAAATGGTGACGCTTCACCCGCTGTAGCGCACCGCGGTGGGCAGTTTGGTGGCAGCGTAAATCGGTAAAAACCTAGAGATTTAATACAAACAAGTTGCTTATTGGGTCGTTATGTTTACGGATTAACCAGAAGCCTGGCGCTAAGCCCTTAAAGTCAAACGAGTTAAGGCTCAAGGGGACCTCTTTATCGGATGGAGTTTGGACAAATGGGTTGGGGTTCACGGCTGTTACTGAAGAAACGTGAGCTTCAGATGGTCTTTACTGTCGCGAAATGTGGTGAAATGCGTTTTAGGTCACACACATCACCGGGACCTTTGGCAGCAGGTTCATAAACTCCGTTTTTGCATAATAATAACCCGTATTTTAGATAAATTCACTTCAGTCTTGTTAGGTATTTTTAGTCAGATAGAAATTGGATAGATACTTTATGTATTAGAAATGTTTAGTGGAGATAGGATGTCTAGTTAGACTGTTAAATGCTTAGTCATGCTTATGAGTTTCTACAGGGTACATCTAGTCAAGGATAACTAGAGAGAAGAGTTGATGACTGTGAGCAGACAGGGTGTTTATTATTATGACGTGTATAACTGTAGCCTTAGCCATAATATGTTCTTATGTTTAAGTCACGACATGTTACTAGAGGTCGTGAGAATGTTTTTAGTTACACACCACTTAATCAACAGACACACACACACATTGATTTGCTTCATGTTTTGACTACTGCTATGACCAGCTGCAAAGCTGGTAACAGAGACGTCTCGGTTGACGTTTCTGTGTAGTATGGGGCTAGCCCAACCGAAGGGATATAATGTATAGGCCTGGTGGGTTCAGGGTCTTTCATCTTACATCTGCCTGCGAGCAGTTTGGAGGTGCAAGATGCCTGAGCGTGTAATGTTAATTTTACCTGTGATCCTTTGAATAAATCAGCACTGTTTTGAAGTTACTTGGACTGTCTCGTCTCTCAGAGTTAGCAATGGTAACAAGAACCATATCCTACAGTCTTCTGCAGAACAAGTAACAGAATTGAACCAGAAAAATCTGCACAGGTTCACAGAAAAAAAGCTAAAGGTATTTAAATAGTGAACAGTACAATAGTGTAAATGTAATTGTGTAAAAGTTAGGAAACAAAATACATGTAAAAGTGACATTTATACATGAATCGTGAAGTTCAAACCCTGAATCAGCAACTGTACAAATTGGCGCAGAGGTCACAGCTGATGAAGAAACATGAAGCAAAAGGACTTTAAATTGTAGAAACATGCAAAAAGGTCAGCAATACCCAAACATCAGAGGCAGGGTAGAAGAACAAAGATTCACAAACAATAAAAAATAATGAAGTTTACAAAACATTACAAAATGTGTGCTGTTCCTCTTGTCGCTCATTTTCTCAAACCTGCTCCTCCTCCTCCTCACTCCTCTTCCTCCAGGTATGCAGTTCACCAAGCATCCGTCCAATCAGACAGTGTCTCAGGGGAACGCCGTGAGGCTGGGGTGCGCTTTTCAGGGGGCTTCAGAGCCAGACATTGTGTGGATGAAGGACGGAGAGAGGCTCTACAGCACCGACCAGATGTTCATCACCCTGGGAGAGCAGCACTGGGAGACGTTCCACAGGTTCATCCTCACACATACATGGAGGAGGGGTGGGTGACACTAGACTAAACCATGATGGTGGAGTTTCTAAATTTGTTATACCTTGAAAAATATGCACAGGGTTAGGGGATGATGCCACCATCGATACCATAGGGAAAACCGCCACTACAATGTTACATTTTATTTACAAGATAAGTAGAACAAGGCCATAACATGACAGCGAGGTCTGACTTTTCTTGGCTGGTAGCAGAGAACAGCAAATTGATATTGATACTTAGCGGTATGAGCAAGCTGCAGCGTGTCCATCTACACAAGCTCAGTTTAGGTGCCGGACGGTTCTGGTCTCACTGGGTCCAGTTTGAGTGGAGCTCAGAACAGGCAGAGAAACCTTCAGTTTGTTTCTGCTGTTCGATAGTTAAACTGCAGGAAGCACAGGGAGAACCTTTTCCTGCTGCGTCTTCACTCTCCCTCCCAGATTAAATCATTTAAAAACACTTTTCGTTCTCTTAAATTCAACGAAACAAGCCAGACCTCTCACAGGCAGCCGTGTGCTTTAGTCGGAACACAACCAGCCAAAGAAGAATTGTTCCACCTTTGACAGTTTTAGTATTAGTACTGTTTGAAACTGAAGTCTGGCACCAAGCTGCACTGAGGGGTTTTTTGTGGTTCGTTCCAGTAACCTGGTAGATCAGGTCCTAGGGATCCGTGCTGTGAATGTAAGGCTGCAGTTGCTCAGCTTTCCACAGTCCTCTGCAGATGGAGTTGAGAAGTGAGGCCTTCTCTTTTCTCTGATATGACAGGAGTCCACAGTTCCCAGAGGCTGCTGGGAAATGAAAGATCAGGCCAGAGACTTACTCTGAGTGTTTAAACAGGGTGGACACGGGATGAGAAACTGACCTCAGATCAGTGTGATGCAGGAGCTGGTTAATCAGCTTTACTCTCAGATTCCTGAAGAGAAACAGAGACCATCAGAAAGAGGAGAAACTCGTGACTTTGCTCTTCCCGCTCTGAAAGAACCTGAGAACATTTCTGAATCTTTTTTTCCTCACCCTGAGCTGCAGTTTCTCTGTCCATACAATCATCACCTTTGGCTCTACTCTGACAAGGATCTGGTTCTGAGGTTCAGTGTTTTCCCATTTCCAGTATGAAGTCAGTCCAGCAGCAGGATGCGGGTCAGTACTGGTGTGAGGTTGAGTTCCATGGTCTGACGTTCTCCTCTGAGCGAGCCTGGATCACAGTGGCAGGTGAGGACCCTGAACACACCACAGCATTAGGGAACGCTTCTCAGTCCTGCAGCTGTTCCAGCAGCCTGACAGATGTTCTCCTACTGCAGATTTCCCATCATGCTCTGCGACTAACCCTTGACACTCTGTCTCCTTCAGGTGTCCCTCACTTCATCCAGGAGCCTCAAGATGTGGCCATGTTCCCCAATGTCCCGTTCAACCTTACCTGTGCCGCTGTGGGTCCCCCTGAGCCTGTGGAGGTGCAGTGGTGGCTGGGGGGGATCCAGGAGGGAGAGCCTAGGCCGTCCCCATCCGTCCTGCACGTCGCAGGTCAGAAAATCTGCTGTTTACCTGTAGGAGGCTCTAATTAAAGACACTACCCAGGTGCATTGTGAGAAATGTAGGATCCAGGTTTTGGGCTGCAAGTCAGGATGTGTCCACCTCTGCTGCTTTTTACCTGACCTGCTCTCAGCGCATTTCTAGCGACAGGCAGATACACTGAATGTGTGTGAAGACAGTTTAAATTGTCACCTCATTAATACGAAGGCTTTTCTGTCTCATTCCCCTGAGGCCAAACCCTGAACTGCACTGATCACCCCCAGTGTACTTGGAGTACAACTGCGGGGGATTCATTCATAAATCCTCTAGTGTCTCCAGAGGGAGCTGTGTCTGATAAGTGGGCAAATCTACAGACAACTGGTCTAGAACAGATCCCCTCCCTCCTGCACAGAAACAACACCCACAGACTGAAAAGTTGCTTTTCCGCTGTGGGAACCTAAGGAGCACTACACCCTGTGCTTTCCTGAACCGCCACCCACCATAAAATCATGGGTTGATGCAGACCGTCCTGCTTTGCTTTTCTACTGTTTTCCTCCCTGTGCACCTCCACCTCCAGCTGGAGGGCAGTGGAAACAAACGCAGAAGCCGGGACAAGTGTCGCTCAGCTCTATTCGGTGGGTTCCTACCATGGAAAAACTTGTTTGATGTTCGTGGTGGCTTTGTGTCTCTTCAGTCTCTGTGTGCAGGTTTTACATCTCATGGTCACACGGTTCAGTGTGATGTGCTCACTTCACCAATTTAAAAACAGGAAATCTGACACGTGAGAAACTGGAACCAGAGAACAAATGTTTATTCATTAAATTCAGCTGAAGCTGTGACACCATCTTTGGCAGACTAAAAGTGGTCAGATTACAACAGGTGATTATAGATTATTGCTCTGTAACTGATTGATACGAATCCTGACTGTGCAGCTGATCCAGGCTCAGCTGTTAGTCGCAGTGTTATCGCTTCTTCATAATGTTGCCAGTCCGGCCGGGTGGAGCCAGCCTTGCACTGCTCACACCTTAAGATGTTAAATGTGTAAGCTGCTCCTCGGTGAAGGATGGAGCCGCTTGGCAGACTTTGTGTGCCTCGTCTTCATCATTACTATCATCATCTCTGCTCAGATAAACAGCCATCATGTAGGGTGGAACACTTCCCTCTTCCTCCTCTTCCTCTGAACTGACAGGAAGGACTTTGATTGTTTGTTGTGTCTTGTTGCTTTTCTTCTTTTGTCTCTCCTCTATCCACTCACCCCAACCGGTTGAGGCAGAAGGCCGCCCACCAAGAGCCGGGGTCTGTCGGAGGTTTCTTCTGTTAAAGGGAGTTTTTCCTCCCCACTGTCACCAAGTGCTGCTCAAGGGGGATTTGTTGGGTTTTCCCTCTGTAATAATAATGACTAGACCTGACTGTGTAAAGTGCCCGAGACGACTTCTGTTGTGATTTGGTGCTATACAAAAATATCGAATGGAATCAAATTGACTTAACTACCAAAATAAGAGCCAAGGTGGAAAACAGTGGCAGTTGCCTTGAAGCTGAGGATGTTTACGGTGTGTCATCAGATCTGAGTATTTCCAGAAGCACAGAACAGGATCCTCCAATCAGCAGCTGCTGCTCAGCTGATGTCATCCTGTTGATGGAGGATTGATGTTTTGGTCTGTGTGTGAGCGCACATCTTTGTGGATGCAGTTTAATATGAGGACATTCGTGTGTCCTCATGGAGATGGCAACACAAGTCCCACACACAATCTCAGGTTTCTGTTAATGGAAACTGTGTTAGCAGTACGTGCACATTACACACTTGGTTTCCTGTCAGTGTATGTGTCGTCTTCCAGGAAGGTGTGTGTTACAGGAATGTTTACTGTAGTTAAACTGACCTGCTATTCTGACTCATCCCCATCTCTCCCTGTGAGCGGCTCAGTCACAGGTGAACCTCAGACCTGTTGTACCTGTCGTGCCTTGATTACATCACAGCTGTATCATTACTAATGATATTGATAGCAAAATGTCCAGTGGATTACTTATAAATGATATCAGTGATCATTTACCGGTATTTTTGGTTTATGACTGCCATGTTAGAAATGGAAGGCCAAAAACAATTTGTTTTCTATAGGAAGGAGGCTTATGAATGAATATGCTGTAAGGAGGCTAAAAGAGGACTTTTTGGGGCAAGACTGGGATGCAGTTTACAAAGAGGAAGACTTACATAAAGCATATAAGCAATTTTTAAATATATTCATGGAAGTATATGACAGGAACTGTCCTCGTAAGCAGTATAAAAACAAAAGGAATTACAGTGGGAAACTGTGGATAAGTAAGGGTTTACAGAATGTATGTAAAAAGAAGAATGTCTTATATAAAGAATTTATAATGGACATATCCAAGAAGGCGGAAGAAAAATATAAATTATATAAGAACAAATTAACTGCGTTATTGAGGATATGTAAGAAACAATATTACTCTAAAGTATTAGAGGATAATAAAAACAATTTGAAAGGTACTTGGAAGATATTAAATAAATTGATTAGAAACAGTACCAATAGGAGTAATTACCCCCCATATTTTATGGACAATGATACACCGGTCAACAGATTCGAGGCGGTAGTTGAGAAGTTTAATAGGTTTTTTGTGAATGTGGGTCCTAGCTTAGCAAGTACCATCTGTACAGATGTCAATAGAAATAACAATATAATTGAAAGAAATAGGTGTTCTATGTTTCTTAAGCCAATTGTTGAAAAGGAAATTATAGATATAGTGAATAAATGTGGTAATAAAACATCAGTATCAGTATAATCAAACACAGCTGGACTCAAATGAAAGTGTAGAACCATCTCAGGGATGATCAGAAGAAACCTAAGTTAAATATATGAGTGCCACAGCAAAGGGTCTGAATACTTATGACCATGTGATATTTCAGTTTTTCTTTTTTAATAAATCTGCAAAAATGTCAACAATTCTGTGTTTTTCTGTCAATATGGGGTGCTGTGTGTACATTAATGAGGAAAAAAATGAACTTAAATGATTTTAGCATATGGCTGCAATATAACAAAGAGTGGAAAATTTAAGGGGGTCTGAATACTTTCCGTACCCACTGTA